CCACTGTAATCCTCCTGTAAACCAATGCATGATAGTGAATATCGAATGAGGTTAAAGATAGATGCATAAAACATTTTTTTTAAATGTTGACTTCTGGCACTAAATACACACATTTGCAAAATTAAATAGAGGTAACTTACGGTAACTGCTCTCAGCGGTGACATTAGGGCGCACGCCGTTCACATGCGCACGGAAGCCGGGCCCGTTAGTGTAAGAGAGCGTCATGTAAGGCACTCCTTTTTCGTCCAAGTCTCTGGAAGGGCCGAGGATGTCATGTCCACGTCTCGAGTACCCATTGAAAGCCATGACGTGGGCGTGGTCCGCTGTGACCACAATCAGCGAGTCGTCCTCAGAGAGCAGCTCGGCGGCGCGTGCCACAGCCTTGTCCATCTCCAGCGTCTCGTCCAGCGCCAGCTCTACGAAGTTGTCGTGGTGCGCGTGATCGATGCGACCACCTTCTACGAACAGGAAGAAGCCCTTCTCGTTTCTACTTAGAGACTGGATTGCTATCTCAGTTAGCTCCGCAAGCGTTGGGTCCGTCGTAAGATTAGACTGCATGTGGTAGTTGAGGTGATTGTCTCCAAACAACCCCAACAGATACTCTGGTGGCGAAGACAGCGACTCAATGAGTTGTGCTCGGGTATTTATATATCGGTGATCAAGGTTTCTTGAAACTTTGTCGTTCTGCCATTCCTCAATCAAGTTGCGGCCATCAGTTCTAGTTCCTAGTGATGATGTCGGAATGAATTCACGCCGCCCACCTCCTAATATGACCTGATAAATTTAAATTCATCATAAGTCGTCCTAACACTAGTATGTACCAACTAAAGGGTTGACCATTTCGTCAGAAAATTAACAATGTGGTAGTTCTGTCAAGTTCCTAACGTTTCCCGATGACAGCGATGCAGATGCATGCAATGATGCTTATACTAGATGTTTTTGTGCTTAAACCACATACAACTAAAGAATATAAAACTTAGAAAGTAACTAACATACCTACATAATGTTGATACCTATGTTATTTACTTTGCAATAGGTAAATACTGACATCAATTGTTTTATTACCAATAAACCAAAGTTCTAAATAATATTAAGTGTATTGAGCCGCACTGTAGCGGGGTGGTAATGGGGTACTGACTTTGAATTGGTTGCCGGGGCGCATGTGCACGAGTTGGTGCGCGATGTCTGGGCACCGCGCGGGGTCGGCGCCGTCTTCTCTGACCTTGGCATCATTCTCCCAGTGCCGGTTGGCCACCTTGGCGTACACGCCGGCAGGGGACGCGTGAGTGATGCGCGTCGTCGTCACGATCCCTGTTCGATACACCCATATGTAGCTTCATAAGCCATTCCCACTCACTAACTGATTTATTTACAGCATCAGTAAGTTTACTAGCAATCTATACTATATTAAAGATGCACAGCATCATTAAAATAAGTGTATATAAGTCATTGCTCTTACTTCGAGAATTAAGAATAATTAACATTCTGATTTGATTAGTTGTGTCGGTCCTTGGATCAACGAAACTAAAGAGGCGTTTTGATTACAAAATACACGGCAGCAGCACGGAGTCTGACTCTGTGATTAGAGTATGGTGTATGCTAGAAGTTACCGGCGTCGCGGCCGTCTGCGAGGGCCCACTCGGCGATGGACTGCACGTGCTGCGAGGAGTCGGTGGAGGCGTCGCAGTCCCAGCGCGGCACGGCGGCGGTCAGCCCAAGCGTGCCCTGGTTCGCCTTCACGCCGCACAAATACGCGGTCGCAGAGCACGAAGAGTCCGCCACTTGAGAATTGACGCAGTATGTCTACAAAATAATTCATACTAATATTATTAATGTAAAAGTCAGTGTGCCTGTTTATTTGTCCGTCTTTCGCCGCTTAATAAAGCGACGAATTAATGTGATTGTTGTAGTGGAGATAGTTGAAGGGATAGAAAGTGCGGTGTAGGTGCCTTTTTGTCTATTTCAATTTCCCCACTTCCGTAAAATGGGGGCTTGAAAGCTTGTATGAAGCATTTTACAATTTTGAAGCTGGAAACAAGAAATAGGTATGCGAACTATTTGCGACTAACAATAATACTGTGCATCAGTTTTGTTTAGCAAAATGTCCCAGTGAACGAAAAAAAAAGAAACATCGAATTCCGACTTCTATATTATCAGTGGGTAGGCAGTACATGAATAATAGTTATTTTGTGCTTTTAGGTTATGGCTTTTGAAGTCTTTTTTGAAAGTAGTTTTGTTTGGTCGGATTCTCCTTTTCCATCTATTCACATTCAGCACAGACTGTTTATGAGTAAGTATATTATTTATGATTATAAATATTATTCTTATTTAAAACAAAAAATATCTCTGATTTTTTAAACCTGAACCAGAAGTAGCAAGTCTACATTTATTTACTTACTTTGACTAAACCTGAAGTTGGAAACTTCTCAAAAGCGAGGTGTGCCTCCTCGCCGGTGTCTCCGCGGCGCTGGCCGAGCAGCGTCCGCGCGGCCGCGAGCGTGGGCACGGACATGCCGTCGCCCAGGAACATGACCACGTTGCGCGCTTTCTTGACGCTCTCCTTGTGCGCCAGCCGAGCACTGATCGCTGCCTGCGCCTCAGCATACCAGTAGCTAGCCTCGGTCTCGCGAGCTCGCGCCGGCAGTTCAGCCACAGAGTCTCGGCTAGCGGGGTGGTAGCGGTCGGCGGGCGGCACGCCGGCGGCCGCGGAGCTCGTCAGCGTTACCAGCGCTAGCAACAGGAGGATCATGGCGAGACGTTCGATGGGCCGAGTACGACTGCTGCCGTTGTTGTAGTGCTTTTATCGCCTTTATTTACTAGCACTTATCTTATCGGAATCTCATGTTATTATAGCGACATGCTTGCTGAGCATGGCTTTCCTGTAACATTTGTGTGACAAGTGTCGACCGGGTGTTGTGACGTCACATGACGTGATCACTTGGAAACTTTGACCGTTACCGATACCAGTAGGTAGTTAAGTACTTAATTAATAAATTACAATGCGTAGTTTGTGTTGGTACTTATTTTATGTATTTATTTCTACTTCACACAAAATTACTGTGAATGGCAGACTTAATGTCTCAAGTCAACCGATGGTTGACTGTCAGAGAACTGGAGTGCAGAGAAATGAAGCGGTCGATGCGAAGTCAGAACACAATTTTAAAATTATAAACGTATTTCTTATCTGAGTAGTTAGTTAGGAAAATGCCGGCCTCATCTAAGGTTATTTTAAATGTTGATTCAATTATATATCAGTCGGTCGAGTCGAGGTCGGGTCAGTGTATCTTCGGCTACATATTACCTTATCATTTACGGGGCAGGAGTTGTGATTCTTTAATTCTGTTACGCATTTTGCGACAGAGTATAATGTAATGACGCATATTTAAATGTCGTTTTTGGGTAAACCAGGCTATTATTTAACTTTACTGTAGAAACTATGATTTCAAAGAAAACATACAAATTCCAGTTAAGTGAATGAATTTTACAAATTGCCACTTGGAAAACGTGGTGTTACTCTTCAACGGCAGTCCCACAACAACTAGGTATAATAATAACGAAATCGCAATAAGGAACCTTAGACTTGGCACGACTTTGTTATATTTCATTTCTTTTTAGAGATAAACTAGCAGCTCCATCGAGACTTGGCTAGTTTTTTACATAACGTTTTTGGTGGGATATAGATATATACACAGAGAGAGTGAGACCGGAACATCTAACGCCCTGGCTATTCTTGGTTATCAAAGAAAAGAAAGGACCACAGACAACAAAGGAACACCTCTGATGATGACCGAGAACGATACAAAAACCTATCGCGGGAAGTTCAACGTCACTGTCGGCAAGATAAAAACAAGTAGGTACAATAACAACAATTTAACTGAAATTGAAGATTATGCCCAGAATATGCAGTCCAGGAATTTTTTCATGTAAATAAAATTAGTAATACGAGAGTTTAAAGCTGAAAGAACCTGGGCTGTGGAGGACATAAATGGAAGTTTAATAACTAATATAAGTAGTTGGGTTGTTCAACCGATAGAGAGAGTTTAGCAGCGTCGGAGAACCATCAAAATAACTTGAATGGCATACCCTTAAAACCTGTGATTTTGAAGCCGAAGAAATCACCCGCCATTGATGCTATATATTATGCCTAAAACCTGAAGAAAATAGTTGATTCTGGAGTAAACTTTCTGCAGAATGTACGCAATCAGATATGGAGGACTGGTAACTGGCCTACGTAGTGGAGGGAATCCCACTGATCACACTATACATATTACAAGGGATTTACAAAGTCCTGCGGAAACTACAGAACCATAGCGCTATTTTCTCATGATAGTCAAGTTCATATTAAAGCATTTCTGCAATGGCAAATTCCTGTGGAAAAGGCAGGGCACGATGAAGATACGAGCCACTAAAGAGCAGATCGCAAACATCAGGCAAATTATAAAAAAAGTCGCGAATTCAACAGATTTCTATGATTAAAGTAGTTGGCAGATCGGGGATACACACTCGCTCATATAAACTCCAAGACCTGGTTTCGTGATGACATAATTTGCTGAAACAACAGTAATAGGGAGAATTAGGGAGACCGTCGGAATTCTGACACTCTGTATCATTTAAATCACTGTACCTATTTTATTGAAATTCGGTTCAACAATGATTTGCTACACGGGAAAGAAAATGGAATAGTTTTAATCACTGAAACCTGACGAGACGGATACTGTACAGGTTAAACCCCAGTGGGACTATTTAGTTTACGAAACCACGAAATTATAAATATAATTTCGTGCCTAGGTTCAAGTACATTTATTACCGTATTACCTTGACAAAGACTAATTCAAATGCCCAAATTTTGCCATAAGTCAATATTTTACGCGGATGAAGTCGCGGGCCACAGCTAGTATTGGAATAAAATACTGAACATATACATAAAAATAATTAATTTAATTACATGGTTATATAAAACCGGTACAAGTAGATAATTCAGATATAACTCAGATTACAAATCATTTTACTCCAAAGGAAGCTAACAGAATAAAGAGAGTGAGTAGCAGGACAGGCTGTGCCAGCGCATGCGTGGCGGCGCTGCAGGCGTGTCTGCCGGGGCCGATGCAGGCGGCGTACGCCATGAGGTGCGGCAGCTGGCTCTGCTCGTACAGCCCCGTGAACATGGAGTGGTGCGGCCCGCGCGCAAACACCACTACTTCGTCTCCACCGTGAGTTTCATAACTCAGCGGTACGTCAACAGGTGAATGCCACTTTACCGTACCTGCGATAAAACACCACATTGGTGAACAAAATAATGATGATATAAAACGAGTACAAATAAATCAATATTTAGTTTTACCATAATTTTCTTCATCGGTCACATTGGGTCGGCCATCGTTGACATGATGACGGAAGCCTGGTCCATTGGTGTATGATAGAGTCATGTAAGGCATGCCATCCCATGTGTAATTTGCATAAAACACTGAAGTGCCCAAGATGTCATTTCCACGTGGTGCATAACCATTGTAAGCTAAGACGTGGGAGTGGTCCGCGGTAACCACAATAAGCGAGTCGTCCTCAGAGAGCAGCTCGGCGGCGCGTGCCACAGCCTTGTCCATCTCCAGCGTCTCGTCCAGCGCCAGCTCTGCGTAGTTGTCGTGGTGCGCGTGGTCGATGCGACCACCTTCTACGAACAAGAAGAAGCCCTTCTCGTTTCTACTTAGAGATCGGATTGCCACCTCAGTCATTTCAGCCAGTGTAGGCTCTGTTGTTTGGTTAGCTAGCATATTATATTGCATATGACCACTCTCGAACAAGCCCAACATGTATTCTGGCAAATCGCTTTTAGCACGCATTAATTGCTCACGATGCCAAAAGTACTCGTGTTTAATATTGCGGTCCACTTTATCCTGCTGCCATTCTTGGATCAAATTCCGGTTATCAGTTCGGCTGCCAAACGTTTGTTCATCATCGCGGATAGAGTTGGGCAAAAAGTTGGCTCTACCTCCACCAAAAATAACCTGTAAAAATAATCACCAACATGAAAACATGATAAGAAGGACAGTTTAATAGTTTAATCGGTTAGTAAACGCATCATTAACCGGTTTTGATTTTGGACTTTATCTTTGGTAAGGGAAGTACATTTTATGTAATTTGGTATTAATGACACTTAAAAAAACTAGCTTTTAGTAGATTTACCTTCTACAGATTACTTGTGGCTCCTTGTAGCGGGAGCAAACTAACTGAGCTGTGGTGTTTGTAATGAGCAGAGTGTCTAGAGAGGCTAACCTTTAGTTTGTTTCCAGGGTGGTTGTGTATGAGCTGGTGAGCAATGTCGGGGCAGCGGTCGGTGTCGAAGCCGGCTTTCTTAACGTCAGCATCGCTTTCCCAATACCGATCAGCAGTCTTAGCATACGCGCCAGCAGGAGATGCATGTGTAATTCGCGTTGTTGTCACGATACCTGTGAGTCATTACCGTAGAGTATTAGACTAATAGATATCAGGTTGAGCATAGCAAGTGTGTACTAAAAATAATGCAAGTAGGCAGTCACCGGTGTCTCGTCCGTCCGCCAGAGCCCAGTCGACGATAGACTGCAAGTGTGTGGTCTTGTCCACCGAAGCTTCGCAGTCAGTTCGCGGAACAGCTGCGTTCACGCCAAGGACACCGTAATTTGTTTTCACTCCGCACAAGTATGCAGTGGCACTACAGGCGGAGTCAGCTACCTGAGCGTCCACGCAGTACGTCTACAACATACGACAGCAATGTTTCATACATTGTATATTGAGTTCAACGATGTCAATTTCACAATATTTTGTATATTTGTACGTTATTATATATTGTAATATATATGGTTATATATCACTTAACAATTCCATCTACGTTAATGGCCATGGAATGAAACGTTCGAATCGTTATAGTGAATTAAAAATAATTGCAGACGATACAGAAGTACCTATACTGTTAATATAGAAATTTACCTTTATTAAACCAACAGTAGGAAAAGTATCGAACGTCAGCTCAGCCTCCTCGCCGGTGTCTCCGCGGCGCTGGCCGAGCAGTGCGCGCGCCGCAGATATCGTGGGCATAGACATGCCGTCGCCCAGGAACATGACCACGTTGCGCGCCCTGTTGGCAGCCTGCAGCCGTGCGAGGCGAGCCTGGATGCCTGCCTGCGCCTTGTCATTCCAAAACTTGGGATCCATTTCTTCGCGCTTTGCTGAGCTAGTGCGACTGCCGGGCGCGGACGGATGATAATGGTCACCGAGAACACATCCCAGTAATATGGTGGCAGTGATGAATGAAAACAAGCTAAACAACCCCATGACTGTGAGTACAACTGGAATCAACTGATGATTTACTCATTTTATAATGTTTCGAATCTAATCTACGGAAACTAATTATCACAAAGTAGATGATATCCTCCACTGCAAGGCAGGAAACAGTGGTTTAATATAATGGATCGCTGTCTGCACTGAATTCGATTTTTCTGATTATATCTAGCAATGTTGATAAGGTAAACATGTACAATGAGCACCTGTCGTAGCCGCGACATTCGCAAATAATTACAATTAATACAGTACATTGCTTTCCTTTCCTTCTGAGCCATTGCTGTGACAATCGGTTGTACACAGCAATGAGTCACACTTTGTGTACTTTCAAAGTGTATAAATCTGTAGAAAAGTAATTTTAGTACATTGAAAAAATTGAGAAAAAAAAAATAGCCAGCGTGTCAAAAGATAATTAAGAGAACCCATTTCCATCATTTTTGAATTTTTTGTCTGTTTGTCTGTTTGTTTGTGCGCGCATCACGTAAAATCTACAAATTCAATGCAGACATTGCTTAGATACAAAAATTGTACACAACTTGAGGTATAACTTAGTTTTTGTTTCAAAGAAATCGGTGCTCTCTATCAGAAGATATGATTAATTTAGTGAGTTCAAGAAGTAAAATATTACAACACGCAATCCGGTATAGTACTTGCAATGACACAATTTGACAATACAATAAAAGTATCGGGTAGGGAGCGGGTTCTGCTTACATACCCAGTATGCGTACCTACTGGTAAGTTCAGACTAGGTATTTATAGCTTTACCAGTAAATACGTATCATCCCTAAACTAGAAATATTTACTACTGAGTTTGAAAAATATAGATACTACAGTCAACATTTTTATTGGCAAAAAAAAATACTATACCACCTTCTTGAGCGGAGCTTATATGTATATAGCCTACTGTTCTCTAAACGATGTTGTTTTGTTTTGGACAACCACACGACCGAAGTCCCGGGCACAGCTAGTGGCTAATAAGGTTAATGCGTTGTAGCTTAGAGAGACACTTTTCGTTAAAGTTTCCACTTATACCGCGATGAATCTGCAGTATTGGCACGCTGTATCTGTTTAATCTTTTATATTGCAAGGCTTGATCTCTACTGAGTATGAACGCAGGCTCATTTTAATATCTCAATCTCCCCAGTCTCCCCAATCTCCGAATCCCCACAATCCTCAAATTCCCAATTCCCAAAAGGCCGGTAACGCACTTCTAACGCCTGTGATGTTTCAGGTGTCCATGGGCGGCGCAGATCGCTTACCATCAGGAGATCAGTCTACTCGTTTACTGGCTATGCCGTAAAAAAAACCACCAAACTATCATTACTCTGAGTCAAGGCCAAATTTACTAATTTGTCCTTGACGGACTTAAATGAAAAGGACTCAGTCGAGTGAGCTGCACGACGTAAGCTAGTAGAGCTTTCCTCAGTATATTCCCGAGAGTAACCCCCGATTTTAGTTAATTTATTACGTCTCACGATAGTTATTATAAAAACGTGAAAAGGACTAATTATTATTATTGATAATCTCGACAAACAACTCAATAACTTATGCCTTAATTATCAGCATGTTATTATCATGGGCGATTTTAATACTTGCCATCTTAAATAAGATTCACGTGCACATAAACTCGAATCACTATTGTCATCTTTTAACCTGCATCTACTTCCCCTTTCGGCTAGTCACTATCCCCCAACTCAACTTCTTCCTTGCTCGATCTTATGATTGTGTCGTCCCCTGGACATGTAGATGACCACGGTCAACTGACTGCACCTTTCTCCTACCACATAACATAACATCACGCCTTTTATCCCCGAATGAGTAGGCAGAGGTGCACATTATGTCACTGTACAATGTAACACCCACTTAATGTAACGATTTATGTTATGCGTCCCATGTAATAAGGGGTGAGGTGGCAATAGGCCATATACCGGGCACGATTCCAGACTCCGTGCTACTACTGAGATTTTTTTAAACCTAGTAATACTTTGCCCGACCCCGGAATCGAACCCGAGACCCCTTGCCTGGCAGTCGCACTTGCGACCACTCTACACTACGATTTTCTAAAGTTCCCTTCGGCTTCGGATTCCACCATCAGGTTCGGACCTGATGAAATAACCTCTCGGGAGTATACTTCGAACTAAATAAGAATTTTGGAAATCTGTTCAAAAATGGCGGAGTACTCGGCGAACAAGCAAAAAAAAGAAATTCCGGTCCAGGAAATTCGTCTGTAGAGGCAACCGCTGCCGCACACGCGCTAATCTCTAGAATATTGGGTAAGACTATAGGTTATGAAACATCACGTTACGATCAATTAGAGCCGAGTTGCGGATGAAACCGCGTGGCAGTAGCTAGTTATATTTCAACTGTTGCCAAACAGAACGGTGTAAGAAACAAAGGAAAATGATTTATGTACTTACTGCCACCTTGAAAGATAAGGGAACATCTGAGAGTGGAGAGGTCGTTATCTCTACGGATGAGAGGCACGTAGCGGCGCGGCGCGGAGATAGTGGCGGAGGCTGCGGCGGACTCACTCGACCACAAGATGGCCGCCCGCGCCCACACCGGCGCTGCGCTGCTACTGCTGCTGGCACTGGCGCGACCCTCACACGGTACTACTTGTCACTCAGCTACGATTCACTGTTACTGCGCCGTATTGCCAAAGAACTCGGAATCGTGAATCTGTTGATTGGTGCATTTGTTTTGGTAGTGCACTCTCACGTTGTATAATGTACATTGTTGTTTCTTGATCAGAGCGAGACGTGTATCACAAGTTGTCACGCAGCGTCGAGACGGCCACGCCGAACATTCCGGAGGTAGAACTCGATCAACAGTTCTGGTATGATGAGGCGCAGGCAGCGATCAGTGCTCGGCTGGCGCACAAGGAGAGCGTCAAGAAAGCGCGCAACGTGGTCATGTTCCTGGGCGACGGCATGTCCGTGCCCACGCTCGCGGCCGCGCGGACGCTGCTCGGCCAGCGCCGCGGAGACACCGGCGAGGAGGCACACCTCGCTTTTGAGAAGTTTCCTACCGTCGGACTAGCTAAGGTATACATTATTATCATTTGTAATAGGTACATAATATATTCATACACGTAGATTGGTCGATGTTGTAACCTAAGAATATTAACTATAAGTCGGTACCTACAATAATAATTATTGTTCTTGTAGTCTATCAAAACAGGGTAACTATCTATAAATTTATTGCGGAAAATATAGGTACTTACTTAAGTAGTTTCCGTAGTATTTATGGATTATACGTGTAATTAATATTATTAGTGATCTGTTTGTCGCCGGGTTCTAACCTATTAGTGGGTGGGTAATAACCTATCAGTACTGTATGTTTAATAATGTAATGTAGTTAAATATAATGTAACGTAATGTAATTTAATCAATAAGACTGACAAAATCCTTTAGCACTACTGGAATCGGCTTACTGTCGCGTGAGCACAGACGTCATGCTTTCTTAAATGTTCTACAGTCGGTGGCGCTGTGGGCTGAGTCGCTCCGTTCCCTACGAAATGGTTGATCGGACCGATTGCTGGCCCACACGTCATGCTCGTGAACGGGCGCCTTCTGCTGGAGCAGGTCGGCTCGCTCATCGTGCGGGTGGGCCGATCCAGTAGGGTTAATGTAAACGTAATAAAACATGTGTTGTGTGAAAAAATGTGGTTAATGTAGGACGTAAGATTTTTGTAACAATTAATTTTGACTATAAAATAAAAGAAAATGTAATTGAATGACAAGGGCACGGACAAGAGTCCGTGGAGAATAATAAATCAAATACAAAAAACCTATCAGTACTAATAATAGTTATTTTTTGCATTTACATTTTTTTACTTTTTGATTTGGGTTTTTTAAAGTCGGTTTTTTAATTGTTCATCGATAGCAGTAAGGTTATGCATTTCTTAATTAGGTAATGCTTTTTTAGGTAAAGTTACTCTTACTTGTTCTTATTGAAGTGTTTTTCGGTGTAGTTTGCAATATCGAGTTAAAGTATCGGTAATAAGTAGTTGGAGCAAAACCAGTGGAGCAGTGTGTGAGTGTACATTGCTTGCAGACGTACTGCGTGGACGCGCAGATCGCGGACTCGGCGTGCTCGGCCACTGCGTACCTGGGGGGAGTGAAGGCCAACATTGCCACCATCGGCGTGAGCGCACGCGTGCCGCATGGCGCATGCGCGGCGGCGCTCGACCCCGCCCACCACGTGCACTCCATTGCAGAGTGGGCGCTCAGCGACGGACGAGATGCCGGTACTCGGACATTGCTCTATTAATGAATAGGTTTTTTTAATGGGATAACCCAGTAACCGAGCAGCTGCAGACGGATCACCTGATAGTAAGCAGTCGGCACCGCCCATAGACATCCGAAACACCAGACTCGTTACAAGCGTGTTTTTATTTATTTATTTATTTCTTCTTCACAAAATACCGTGAATGGCGGACTTAATACCTTAAGGCATTCTCTTACAGTCAACCATAGGGAAGTGCAGAGAAATGAAGTGGTCGCGAAGCCAGAACACAATTTTTGGCCTTTTGGGATTTAGGAATTTAAGTACGTATTGTTGGTGATTCGGGGAGATTGGGGAGGCGGTTAATTGGGCCTTCAATAATCTTATTCACATGCGACGAAACACAACGCAAGCGTTGTTTCACGTCAGTTTTCTTTGAAGCCGTGATATCACTCTAGTCGAGCCGGGCCATTCGTGCCGAAGCATGGTTCCCCCACACTTCAATTAGTGCATTCAGTACCACTGCGTTTATTTATTGTCACTATTTTAGTTGTCACTTTACAAGGTGGCAACAGTAAAATGATGAGTCAGTGTTAAATGCATTTAAATTAATTGAATACTATCAAGGTAGGTATTGATACACTTGACCATTCACTTGTCAGAGAACATCGAGCAATCACCGCATTTTAAATTATGTACTGGAACTGAACACCCAACCGAGCCAAGCATAGAAGGAACCAAATATTGCTACAAACATTTAGTCCGTAGACTTGATTGAACTTGACTGTCATTAGGTAGAATGCTCGTCAAAACAAAAACATACATAACTTCACGCCTGTCTCCGCTCCCGTTACTTTTCGGTAATTTAATATTCGCAAAAATGCTCATTGCAAATAAATACTTAAGTATAATAATACTTTACATTTTTTATCATCAATGTATTTATGTTAACTAAATTAACTAAAAATTACAAGATACTCACGTCAACGTACTGAGAAAAGTTCTACTAGTTTCGAGTCAAAGAGGGACTCTTCCTCATGAGAGCGTGTATTTATGTTGATAAAGTTAACTGGCATATTATTATTTAGCAAGACTTCAGAATATCTGTTTACTTATTATGTTCTTGTTTATAACAAACATTGAAGAGTTAGTTAAATGAACGGCTTAGAGCGTGAGTGTGTGCTGGTGGCGCAGGTGTCGTGACGACGACGCGCGTGACGCACGCGTCCCCGGCCGGCGCGTACGCGCACACGGCGCACCGCGACTGGGAGGCGGACGCCGACGTGGCCGCCAGCTGCGCGCCGCCGCGCCAGGACGACATCGCGCTGCAACTCGTGCACGCCTACCCTGGGGACCACTTCAAGGTGCTACTTACGCTACTAATAGTTGCTTTGACTGTACCCTTTATCGTTATAATGACACAGATAGAATTCGCAAATTAAAGCCAAATGTGAGCCCATCCCCTTTTCTAGTTACCTACCTACATTCTACGTCAGATTGAATATTTTTCTTTATATTTACTTTTATTTTTGATATTGACATTAACTAAAATTCGCGGGTTACGGCTCTACTAGTTTCGAACCACAGAGGGGTTCTTCCTCATGAGCAGCGTGCACGGTCGGTAGTAACTAGTAGGCTGCTCGACATCGCCGCGACCGCGCGAACCACCAAACACCGCGCACGTGGATCGAAACTAGTAGAGTTTTTCTCAGTATATTCACGTGAGTAACCCGCGATTTAAGTTAATCTAGCATGTCTCACGATAGTTATTATAAAAAGCTATTGATATTGTTTAGGTAATTTTAGGTGGAGGGCGTCGAGAGTTTCTGCCAAATTCTACTATTGACGAAGAAGGTTCGAGGGGCAAGAGGTTAGATGGCAGAAATTTGATTGAAGAATGGCAAGAGAGTAAGCGAGCACAGAACGTCAGCTACCGGTACGTGTGGAACCGAGAGCAGCTAATGGACGCGGCAGACGACCTGCCCGAGTACTTACTGGGCTTGTTCGAGGGTAGTCACATGCAGTACCACATGCGAGCTGACCCTGCCACCGAGCCCACGCTGGCGGAGCTCACCGAGGTGGCCATTCGTTCGCTGAGTAGAAATGAAAACGGGTTTTTCCTATTCGTCGAGGGCGGACGTATTGACCACGCACACCACGAGAACTTGGTGCAGCTATCGCTGGACGAGGCGATAGAGCTGAGCAAGGCGGTGGAGCGCGCCGCGCAGCTACTGTCCGAGGAGGACTCGCTGCTAGTGGTGACGTCGGACCATGCGCACGTCATGACCCTCAACGGCTACACGCACCGCGGCAGCGACATCATCGGACCCTCGGACGACAAAGGAGACGACGGCGTGCCATACATGACGCTGTCTTACGCAAACGGGCCCGGCTACCGCCCGCCCACCGCAGCGGGCCTCCGCGAGGATGTCACTCAGTACGATTACCGTAAGTCCTATTCCCCTATTATCAAGTATTGCATACCATTTCTCCTGAGACATAAGTAACTTCTAATTAGATGACTTAATTAACAAGTAACATACTTTTGAAATTGAAAATTGCACCAAAAATAAATATTTATGTGTATCTGAATTAGTTATAGAGAAATCGAGTTGCGAGTTTCCAAGTTAATTTTGGAATTCGTGCATGGAAATATATTGACACCTAGCTCACTTTTGTTGCCGTTGACGTCTTAGCATAAACTGACTCTTCGTATAGACGTTACATCGTAACATAGTAATGTAAGATATGTATATAATATAGATGTTATGTTTTACAGATGATGTGAACTTTGCGTTCCCGGCGAGCGTTCCACTGGAAGACGAGACGCACGGTGGAGACGACGTGGCTGTGTTTGCGCGCGGGCCGCACCACTCCATGTTCACGGGGCTGTACGAGCAGAGCCAGCTGCCGCACCTCATGGCGTACGCCGCCTGCATCGGCCCCGGCAGACACGCCTGCCAACACTGACGACCATCGCCACTCGACACTCAACTAAGTACCCACACAGCAGGTACTAAATTAGGAGAATCGATAGTTATTATTTTAGCAAAATATCGTAATTAAAGAGGAAATTGAGCATAATTGCAGTGTTGTTATTTCTAAAAATGTATGTAGTTTGCACCAATGTTAATGTCCACGGTAAACTAAGTTGACAAAGATGTAGGAAATGTCATAACATGAGGCACGTAGTTAACTATTTGTATGTATATACATGTGTCGGCGTGATAGTAAAGTACAGCGCGGAGTATAAGTACTGCTGACTAAATAAATCATGTATTTTTCAACTGGGTATCGCGATGGGTGTTTTAATAATCTATTGTGTTATCAAAGTAAAGATGATTATTATCTAATCTACAACGCTCCACGCTCTGAGGGAATCATTGATGTGATTGACATAGATTATATAACGCTGGCAGGACGAGGTCACGGCCTCCCGCGTACTGAGTGTGACTGCATTACATGTTGTACGTACGTCATCGTCATTAGGGTTACACTTCAGTTTGTCTCAATAATTGGCATCTATCAATATCTAATAATATCTAGGTTGGCAAATAAAGAAATAATACTTATTGTGTATATAGGACCGAGCAGCGCAGAGCAAGCTTATAATAGAACAGAAAAGCTATATCAACAAAATAAAGCTAAAAACATATCTGGTACTGCTAGTTTCAAAGTGAGGTCCAATATGGTAGTAGGTCTAACTGTCTTATCGCTGGTTACAATCGGTTCGTGACAATGTTGTACAGCATTGTGAATTGATGAGAAGATCTTCTGTTGGAATGTTGGGACCGTTGACACGTTACTCTTTTGTCAGCGTACAGCAGTCAAAGACATTGGAAGGTGTAGTGGCGCCCATCGTGGGACTACTGAAACTCAAATAATAATATGATGAGAAGAAGTGCGTGCGCCATTGGTGCACAGTGGTGGTGCGCCGTTACTAAGATACTCAAAAAAATTAAATAAAAGCTGCGATCGACAACCGCTGGAAGAAGACAAACTTTGCCAATTACATAAATTGCTCGTCGCTCATTACGCGGACAGCACGCGGGAAGCGCGGCCCAGGCCCCGCCGCGCGCCCCTGGCGGGCCCACGACGCATCAGTATTCATTAAAAGCGCAATTAGTAGAGTGCATAGCCCTCGCGAAGGCGCGCCGCTCCTCTCAAAGTGAAACATTACGAAAATGTCATTCGTCAAAATTTCCCCGAAGAGAGTCGAGTCCGGGCGAGCTGTCGGCCGGGCGGCTCCCCCTTCCCCCCCGGCCGCCGCCCCCAGGTCCCGGCCGCGCGGGGCGAGGGCTGCACTCCGGCAGTGGCGAGCGTCCGCCCTCGCAGCTCGCGCGCCTCGCGCCGCCTCCCGTCGCCTCGCGCTTTATTGCCGACAAACTTTGGTCGCGCGAACCGATTCTAACTTTGGTCTTGTGTTCTAGTACCGCGGGGCTCGGTACGTGAAATGTGAATACTTCAATGGGAAAAGTGCAATTGTATTTGTGACAGTGAATGTGCATGCCAGTTAACGGGAATTTAGAGGTGTTCCACCAAACCGATTGGATACAAACAACAGGTAAACAGTTTTCATATTGTCTCCGTACTATAGTAACTGTCAGAGTCGCATCTAGTATTGTGTAGTGGCGCCCGCCGTGGGACTATTGAAACTTTTTGTTGGAGCAATAATAATACAATATTTATGCTGTGTGGTGTATGCTACTGAGCTCACTGGCCGCGAGCATTGTAGACTCGTATGAATATAGTTAAAAGACATAATTGGAATATCTTAACTTTAACCAAGTTTTGTTTGTTTTCAATGTAGGTACTAATCGTATGTAAATCAAGTAACAATAACTTGTATAAAGTGATGGTTGTTTTATTGTTTTTCTATAACTCAGGTATTTTGTTATGTATTGTCTGTTTGTATAATGTGTGTTCAGTACCCAATGTATGGTATTGTGTACCTACGTGGACTGTACAAGTAAACGACTGTACATCGCACGCACTTTTAAATAGATTCAAATCATTATAATTACTTATAACGAACATTCTGTAGTTAGTACCTGAACACATAGCAGTAGTAGGTACTCTTTAAATCAAGTTCAGTAGATAACAAATTCAAGTTTAGTAGTTAATATAGTTTACGTTATCGTTATATATGTCGTCATAGTAATTAATTAGGTCACACAAATAAATGCAACACGAATAAGATACATCTGTAAGGGTGTGTGCGTGTGCGGTATAGTGGACGTTACGATTGAAGTACCGTAGGGTTACTGGCGGTGACATCTACATCATTAGTGCACTTAAAGCATTATTACAGTCGCCAGCGGTCGAGTTACTACTAGTAAGACAGAAGAATTCATTAAAAGTTGTAATCTTTCCGGGTGTGGAAGGCAACACCACGTGCGGATTGACCATACATAAGTACATGCCGGTTGCTTCTAAACTTTCAAGGAACTAAATAATATAACAACACTAGAGACAACAAGATCGTATATTTATTTAACTACTTGAATAACGTTTTTAGGAAAATAAAATATACAGTAAAAATGTAACAAAAAAGATAAAATAGAAAACCGAAATATTTTATTCAATGAAAATCCAAATAAAGCGACATTTTCTGAAAATGAAACCTAGATTGATGAATCGTTCCCGAAACCCCCTAAATACAAAATTTCAAGAAAATAATTGGAGCCATTTCCGAGATTGTTGATATACCTACATATATACAGCAATTGATCGTTTCAAGGTATTATATTAGATATAGCTTCGTTCCACTTGACTTGACTAAATACCTGACGCTTGGTTCAGGAATAAGTACATTCCAAAATTGTATCAGTTTAGAATTATTTGTCATAATTAATATCTGAGTAGTCTGTCAAAGTTCAGACACATAAAAGTAAGTAATTGCAAACCTGAGTATTCATATTTTCTTTATGGGCTGAGCCGGTAAACGAGCAGATATATCACCTGATGGTAAGCAATCGGTGTCGGCGCAATAGACACCAGAGGCGTTACAAGAGCGATACCAACCTTTTGGCGATCAGGAATTTGAGGACTATTGGGGACTAGTAATTGGGTCTCCGGTAACCACACTTACACGACGAATCACAACGCACGCCTTGTTTTGTTTCACGTCAGTTTTCTGTAAGGCCATGGCCAGCAAGCCGTCTTCTTACAAAAGATTTTTAGTTTAACACAGGGCGGATTACACATAAAATGACATAAATGACTTACAATTAGTTGGAGCAATGTCCCAACATACAAATAATGCTGAACGACGAACTATACAAGTATACATATATGCTCACCAAAAACATACTTCGGATGAATGACGGCAATACCAAGGATTTCTTACAAATTACAAATATTTTCATTTACATTATCCTGTGGAGCTGGACCAAAATGCTTTCAAACATATTTTTCTTCAATATTATTATAAACATTCTACTTTTTTGAAAGTGTGAATATTGAACTGTTTCAATAAATAATACAGAATTCCACATGTAACACATTATGTATTCAATGTAAGGTAGGTATGTATATATATAGGTACTTACAACTCGGCATGAAAGGTCCAACCGGAGTGATGCCACGGTCTCACAGAATACCGGCGTGAAGCAACGCTTGTAACTATTGTGTAGTGTTGTCCAAAGACGGCGCTGATGGCTTCCGACAGATGATCTGATCTGTTTAGTGGGCCCATAAAATAAATTTAAATATTTATTGCCCTACCTAGCTAGATTATTTCTATGATAATTGTGTTTATCAGACATTTCGTCGAAAAAAGGAATGTCTAAACCGACATTATTTAAAATATGATTATATACATAACATTTCGTAAATATATTGACAAGGCGCCTACCGTCATTATACCTCTTAATTCATCTTTGTTGATAGCTAAATAAATCAGTAACAGCACAGTGCCAGAGTAATGTCGGAATACTCAAACGTTACTCAATTTTAAGTCTTTCAAAAGCAATAAAACTATTTATTAGTTGCTGCTACAAACCATTTGCAAAATTAATTATATCTTTAGGTAGGCGTACTGAAATCGTGGAATAAATTAGAAGCTCGCTCCTCGTGCGGGTTCGAAATCTGCCAACGGCAAGTACCGATGTGATTTTTCCCGAGTTATATGCACTTTCTAAGATTATAGTCCGAGTTTGAAATCTCCAACCCGCATTGAGCAAGCGTGGTGATTAATGCTCAAACCTTCTCCGTGTGAGAAGAGGCTTTGCTCAGCAGTGGGTAATATAGGCTGGTGATGATTGTGATGAAATATTAAAATATTTAAACCTTCAGTAGTGGTCATGAACGTACGGCTAGCTTTTCGCTTTTAGGTTGTTTTGTATTTGTAGTAGATTTTTGAAAAAAGCTCTTTTTCACCTCATCATACGCTCCTGACACAGCGGTCGTGGCCATCCATCACCATCCAAGTGTTACTCCAGCAGTATGTCTCCACGAAGCACGATGTCCAGCAGAGAGAGTCGACCAGTATTAATGTTCGGGTCACAGTCTTTGTAAGGTCCGTCCACAGCAAGTCAAGCACAGTCTTTCCAAATTATTGAAGGGACGCATGGTTCAATAGTTCATAATTATCTATATTTTTGCGGTTACTCCCAGATTTGTATTTTTTTTAAAGAACCCCTCGATTTTCCAAATATTCATCTTTATATCCCTTTCCTTTTTTTCAACAAAACATATCATATATGACAAGGAAAACGTAAAAACAAAAAATATTTGTATGATTGAAATGAAATTTTCTTTTTTGAAATCAGTTTTCAAAGAGTAGATATTTCATAAAATACCTAAATATTAGTTCGAGGAAAAAAAGGTGTGACGTCATGTTGTTCTATATATAATTATAGATCGTTGTGTATGGGAACTGCGACGACCTGGGAAATGGTACGCTTCTCTAAGATAGGTAAAATACACTGAATGTCAGCGATCTGCCCTCTGTCGGCGACGTGTGATAGCAAGGGATGAATGATTGTATTACAATGAACCTAAATTCAATCCCGTTCACTTGAAACTTAAGTCATCGAGGTTGATATTATTTTGAAAATAAAATGGACAATGAATGGACATCTATTAAAATAATTGTGTTTGGTCTCGTACGGGTAAAATGGCATACAGACTATAATAATTACTTTATTAAATTACTGGGGTAATATGTATATTATAATAATGTCAGTTTGTACATGTCGTATTACACTAAACTTACAGATACAAGTTTAATTCGACCGTACTGTTACACATGTCTGCATCACCCTTGGATGGCTGGTAGAGCAAATACCAAAACAACTTGAGAAGTAACAGTCTCAGTCACTCTCTGTTAAATTCTTACGTTGAAGTATACTTTTGTCAATGTGTGAGTGTAAGTACCTATTATAAATACTGTATTATTTATTTATTTATTTATTCATGTACACCACATAGACAATACACAGAAGAAAAAATATATATATAACAAAACAGAGGTACATAGGTATTTAGTGTGCTTTACTTATAAAACAAACAAACCGTCAAACAAACGTCTTGTATGTGTGCATGACACTACATAGTATAGTAAACTTCAATGTTTAGTTCATGACACACGCAAATTTTGAAGCCAGTTTTGGTCTCTTAGATAACATTTATCAAACATGTATTTTGAAGCCAGTTTTGGTCTCTTAGATAACATTTATCAAACATGTATTTTAAATAAAGACTGCCTCGTTGGCCGAGTGGTCGCAAATGCGACTGCCAGGTAAGGGGTCTCGGGTTCAATTCCCGGGTCGGGCAAAGTATTACTGTGTTTAAAAAAAATTCAGTAGTAGCACGGAGTCTGGAATTGTGCCCGGTATATGGCAATAGTCTCACCCCTATAACATGGGACTGTGTTACATTGTACAGTGGCATTAAGTGCCGTTATGTCCACCTCTGTCTACCCCTTCGTGAATAAAAGGCCTGGTGTTATGTGTATGTATTTTAAAGATAATCTGATGATCCTATGGTCACTGGTTAACTACTAACTTCAGGATATCCATATGATTCCAATGTTGATTTACTGACAATTTCAAAAAATTTAATTCGTACAGGATGCAATGGCATTCCGGAGAAATAAATAAGGGCATTAAAATTTTCCTAGTATTCAAACTATTGTAACAACAAATTTATTTTTGTTTGAGGACCGGCCTACTTCGCCTGGGTGCTATTTGTCGATGAATGTATCGAATCCTTTTTATAAAAACTTTGTCGTAACTATAACGAAAACAACAAAAATATAAGTCGATGCAATCACTCGACAGTTATTGGCGTACATACATATTGGTGATGCATTTTAATTTTTTTTTGTGGCATAAGCCGGTAAACGAGCAGACGGATCACCTGATGGTAAGCTATCGGCGTCGCCCATGGACACCTGGAACACCAGAGGCGTTACAAGTGCGTTACCGGCTTTTTAGGGATTAGGAGTTTGAGGATCGATGGGGATTCAGGGATTGGGGAGATTGGGGAAGGGGAGAGTAATAAAGATTAAAACTATTTTTTTCCCTTTTCGACCTACCGTCTGTGAGTCACTCCAAGGTGCCATCCGAAAACCAGCTTTGAGTGAAAACCACGCTCAATATAATGCTGTGGTGGAGGCCCGTTCGGCATGGACATGCATCTATTTTTGTTAATTTTGTGATGTTTCATTTTAGTTTTAACTTTTTAATTTTTTTTTAATTTTTGTCTACATCTTTTTGTTTGAATGTTGTTTTTCTTTGAATTATAAGTAATTGCTTTTAGAGATTGCGATAGTCAATTCATCAATATGAACAGTTTCCAACGCGCCCTGTGTACCTATGTGACGCTTAGACCTACGTGACGTATGTATGTCTACAGCTAGTTGTAGGCAGCTGCATTACAAATATTTTGACTACAAATATTTAGTCATTTAAATTTAAATTTTAAATTTGTATATAGTTTGTTAGTGCTTTGACTTTAATTATCCACATAGATGCATACAGATCATACTTGTGTCTCAGTAGTGTCTAAATAATCTGACAAAGTACATACAATATGCATAGCTCGGAAAAGTTTCATTAGTACTTGCTAGGTTTCCCTACACTCGTGCATGAGCAGTGGGCGCCTTAACCTCCAGGCGACCACGATATACACGCTGCGTAGATTTATTGAATTTTATAACAATTTTTATATGTATAATTCTTCTGTGAGTGTGTATGTCACTGAACTTCTCTCAAACGACTGGACCAATTTTAATGACATTGTGTGTGTTCAAGGGGATCTGGAAAAGGTTTGGATTAGCAAATCCGCCCGGTAGATGGCACTGCAGTTGGTGTCTAGGTTATTTATCCTAAACGGCTGAACTAATTTGAATGATTTTTTGTTTATACATTCAAGTAGATCTATATGCTAGATCTATATACCTCTAAAGTTACCGCGACTGAATAAGAGAACTCGACGTTCCATGGAGATTTTCATATTTACACTCAGAAGAAAGTTGCATAATGCAGTGGTTTACAGTTAACGTTTCCTTACACGAGAGGACTCTGTCAACATTACTTGTGTCTGATGGATGATGATATTAATTATTGCAGGCGAAACAAAACGTGAGCTATAAAAACAAAAAGTAATTCGGTAGTAGTGGTTGCAGTGGGCGATGGTGGCGGTGATGTGAGCCAGTGAGCAGTGCGCGGAGCGAGCGGCGCGACATGGCGGACGACAACACTATCATCGAGGGAACCGTCAAGTTCCGGGACGGGAAGAAGGTTAGCACACCGACACTTATTTATTGGACACGTCCGAGCCTACCTCTAGATGTAGTAGCAGTTTCCATGACTACCTGGGGCAATGCATGATCATATCTAAAAATTAAGTTAAAATCATATTCTCTGGTGTGCGAGTAGTACTTAGTACTTATTCTCAATTTGGCCAGTTTGTGGATCCCATTTGTGGAATCCGGCAAATAATATTGCTAATCGCCCCGACCTGGCGCTGGCGTTCTGTAACGACGAGCGGCTACGTCTGTAGTAGAGACAGAGAGTGATGTGTGCGTGTTGTCCGCAGTGGAAGTCCCGGTGGTGCGTGATGCGCAAGCTGTCGCCGGTCGCAGGTGAGTGCAGCACTACTACACTACTACTGTACTGCATCAGCTACGGGGTACTCACTACGTCGTACGATATTTCAACTTAATTTACAGTTTAATAGGTACATGTTATGCCCATGACAAAACAATAGTACAGATATACCAGTTGTCCTCGTATTAAAAATAACTATTTACAAAGAGCGTCAAAAAATTCGTCCGCATCAATGTCAGCTGGGAAAGTACTCAGAAGGCTGGCAGTGTTGCCACGTTGTATGGCAATGCTTAACCTCTAACCGAGGAACAGACCAGCTCTCTGGATTTATTCTAGTTAATTATGAAAAAATAAAGATTACACATTAAACACAACACATCATTAGGTATACGTTACAGTACATTATTTGGTGAACAATCATGGATTAAACTGTCAAACACCGCGAGGACACCGGTGACCGCAACCTATTGTTTTATAATTATGTCCGTAATGACGGTACTCAACGAGTTAAAATATGAATTAGCTATTCATTGAGTAAGGGCGTTCATTAACCGGAGTGTCGTAGTGAGCGGCGCGTCGTGGGTGGCGACAGTGGCGCCGCGGCTCAGTGCGGCCACTGTTCTCGTCACGCGACTAATGTACACTTCCGACATCTTACTGCCCATAAATTTTTATGAAAACAGTATTACAGTAGGGAAGCGATCCGTGACGTCAGGTCTCACACGTCGCTCTACTCAGTAATCAACAATTAATAGTAAACCAAGTTGGAGCAGCTTCAGTTTACTAGTATTACACTACACTATGAGAGATGAAATGATATTTAACTAAGAAAAATCCATTTTAAGTTGCATAATGATAAGTATGTATTTGTGTTTATAGAAATAAGATGTCCTCCTATAAACATTATGTATAGAGCTCCTGTCGCCGGAGATACAGGTAGTCCTAGTGCAGGCAACTTTATGAGAACAATTTTATTTACTTATTTATTATTATTATATTTACTAAACGTCTGTTACACATAGGTATTTTACGAGACGCTTTTAAATCTTTGTAGTGTGACCGTGAATGCGTGCTTGAAACGTGTGTGTGTGTGTGTGTGTGCAGATTGCGTGCACCTCCAGTTGTACCGCGACTCGAAGGCGCGCTGTGCGGGCGCGGCCAGCAAGGCGTCGCTATCGCTGCAGCACTACCTCGGCAGCGAGGCCGGCTTCACGCTGGACAAGCACTCTAACACGCTTGCGCTCGTATGCCGGGACCTGGTCGCCATCCTCGCCTTCGAGACACGCGAGCGTCTCATCCAGTGGCAGGTGAAGGTGAGCGCGCACCTGGGCGAGCCACGCCACTATCTCGTGCTGGTGGGGGGTGCAGGGGGCGCAGGGGGCGCAGGTAACAAGCGCCTGCCGGCCGGCCCGGCGCGCCTGCACCTGCACGAGCGCCGCTTCGCGCTCACCGCTGGAGTGCCTCCTCGACTACTCGGCATATGGGAGCTGCCGCACCTCAGGTCAGGACTGGTTTTATCTCGTGTGCAAATAATACTATAACATGTTAACATTGGTATAATTGACATTCAAGATTATATACGAGTAGATTGATTAATTTCTATTATCTATAGGAACTACTTTTTATTTAATTTAAATGTGTAATTATTAGTTTCCCGAACAAAAAATTAATGTGTCAACAAAATACTGAATAATTGCATAATGAAAATGGTCTAACAATACATTGGTATTGGCATGCAGACGGTACGGTGTGGTCGAGGGCAGGTTTTGCTTCGAAGGCGGCTCACACTGCGGTAAGGGCGAAGGTCTTCACGTGCTGATTACAGACCAGGCCAAGGAGTTGGCGCGTGACTTTGATTTGGCCTCACAGGGTCGCCTCTCGCCCAGAAGAAGGCCAAATAATTTTAAAAATAGTGAAGGTTGGTTGGTAGACATATTTGATAATCTGTTTTTAATTGTATTTACTTTGTAATTGTGGTTTTCATTTTAAATTTTAGGTGCAGATAGTCCAAAATCCCATAAGGCTTATCGGCCCGATACTAGACTCTCTGAGCTGAACACAATAGACCACTCTCTCCCGCCTATAGACATCCACAACTATGAAGAGGGCTGTGAGGAGACAGGAGCCATCTCTCCGTATTGGCCATCTGCAGAGAGAACAAACTTTCAGGACATGGGTCATGGTGACACCGCGTCCGTGAACGAGACGGTGGAGGAAGCAGCCACGTGGAACGGAGTAAGCAACGTGACGTTGGAGAGGTGCATGAGCTGCATCTCCAAGCTGGGGGCATTGTCGCGGTCTTCTACGGCGGCCCTAACGCCTGGCGCTAAGCACTTTAACCCTGCGTGGACTATGGAACCTGTTCACGAAACCCTTCCTACAGAACCCACAGAGCTCACTCAACATTGTGATATTCTTCTTAGTGCAACCGATAAGACTGACGATGCTTGCCATTGCCCTACATGGCCTGAACGGCCACCGGAGAGACCCCCCAAGCCCACACGGCTAGAGCTTAATCTAAATAGGAAACCGGTACCTGTTTGCCGCTGTTCACATAGTGTGCCAGACGATAAGCTCTGCAGAGTTGGACCCTATGAAAACTACGATGTACCAAAAGTTCCACACCAAGATGAGTATTACGATACGCCGAAGCGGCTCAAAGAGTGTCTAACTAATGAATTATTTAAAGTTACTAAAAGTTCGACGTCGAATGCAGTCATTTTGAAAAAACCCTGTGGTTGTTTACTGAAATTTGGCAAAAGACGAAGAGAACCAACGATAGTGGATTCTGAGGAAAACTTCCAACCAGCTAGTTGTCCTTGTCAACGTGTCACTGATTGGGCAAACAATTGGATAAAGTTACCATATTGCAGGAAAACCACTGTTTCTAGTGATAATTTGGTGCCAAACAAAGAAAATATGACCCCTAATAGTAGTGATGGAACCGCACTTTATGCTACAATAGACTTATCAAGGAAGATAAGAAGAAAACAACGGCCTTGTGACCGGCATCTAGACGCTCCCGAGAGTGAGTCTCTTCGAGGTCTGACTAGTTCTGCAGAAATTGATGACGGCCCACTGGCCAACTATGAAAATCTTAGTTTTGCCCTATCTTTAGAGCACTACGAAAATGCCAAAGATTTATTAAGAAAAGTTGGTGTCACACAATCAGAACTGGATGCAATTAGCGCTAATTTAAATCCTAGTTCATTTGTTCCGACGGATGCCAGTCTTTGTACAAAATGTGGTCACGCGCAGCATCAGCGTTTTAACAAAAACTTAGTCCGAGATAATTTACCTGTTGGGGCAAATGACGATTATTTAATGATGGAACCCGACGCCAGTAACAAGTTAGAACAAAGCAAACCGTTGCCAGCGGGTTATACTCCAATGTCTCCAATAGGAGGTTTTGCATTTAATACTCTAAAACACCCTGCTAGGAGTCCTATTAGTAGGCTACTCGAAGAGAAATCAGCGAGTAACCCAACATTGTGCGAGGAAAGCAGACGATCGGGTACAACCGACGCTGCTGCAGTATGCACAGCCAGCACTGTCACCGAGCGACCTGACAGAATTGAGTATAGAAAACGTTCCAGCTCTGCAGACTCTTCACGATTCCTTGAAGACGTGAAAGAATTCGATGGCAGCATCGGCAGTCAGGGTTCCACATCCTCTATTGAAACGCTACGTAACATCGCGGTCGATGGGCGGCCTTCAACACCATGTAACTGTATAGTCGATAACAAACATTCGGATGCAGACAGTTCAGAAGCATCTAAAGGAGCACGTAGTAGGCTGCCACCAGCGAGGCGTTCGTCTTCTGTGCCAGGAAAGGCGGGAGGGAACAGGGATTCGTCAAGTTCTAATGACTCGGGCGTGTCAAGCTGCTCATTGCGGCGAGGCGAGCTGTTCGAGCTGCCGCTGACGACGGCTGCGGCGCGGCGCCACTACCGCAGCGCGCGGCGCGCGGCGGCCGGCACCAGCACGTCATTGCCGCGCCGCAGCCGCTCCACAGACCCGCTAAGTGACGTCACCACTGGGCAGAGAGAGCGCGTGCCTGCAAAATCTTCTTCTGCTGAAGCTGAGGTGCCTGTCCTCACTGTCAAGCCGCTCCGAGGTACGATTTCGATTTGTATGATGACTTTAATAATGGAGATGTTTATTTTGAAGAATTGTGGAAATTGCAATATCGTGTTATATTTTTATCTGTAAGGATTATTTTGAATCTTGCGTGTAGATATCTACTGTTTTTTACAGGGGTAATGGACACCCACAGTACGTCCAGCGGTACCTCCGATATGTCGGACTACATCGAAACTCTGTCTATATGCTCTTCCCATTCGTCGACAGATACTCCTATAACCATGAGGTATGTCATCAGAGATAAATTAGTAATCGTAAAACAAGGGAATCTGTAACGAATTAGAGTGCAAGGTATCTGTGTGTTGCAGGGTGATGCGTCAGACGACGAGCACGCTGCGGCCGCGCTCGGGCAAGGAGTACGGCAGCCTAGACCCGCGCCTGGCGTCCGCCTACCGCCACCCGCACCACTACACCAACCTGCCCTAGACACATCGCTTTCTCAAGCGCCGCCCACACAGTACTCGCTCTCACTCCACTCGTGTTGCGGGTATGTGACGTACTGGTGTTCGGAGCTGTCTGTGTGTGGTTACTCGCGACGACTTCATTGTCTGTGTTGTGAAAGTGTTGCCAGCCGCGGCCGCGAGCGGCGCTGCCGAGCTTACTTCTCGACTGTACGTTGTGATCCGTCCATGGTCTGCGCTCGCTGCGTCGGATCGTATCAGCTCGCGCGTGCCGCGGCCACTGACACAGCGTTATATAAATGTAGTTACCTTCACAATGGAAACTGAACGAATTACAAGACAGGTGAAATAAATACCTAAGTATTAATACAATTTGCTCGCTACAAGGCAGCAGTGGGCGAGCGCGCTGTGGCCGGGCTGGCTGGGCCCGCTCTGTACATACTCTACACATTCGTAGTTTGCGTCGATTCGTTTAGAATGAACTAAATGTATATTAAATATTATTACTATAAAGTAATTGATATACTTATAAATTTAATCTCTACAACGACTCTCTTGTCTCTACTTTGTTACGACGATGTAATATTTTGATATTCGGAGTTTAACTGGGGGTGTCTCAGTAAGCAATAAGCAATAAGAAGCAGCGCATGCAGCGGCGACCGCGCGTGCGCTGTGCGGGGCATTGTCTGCGAGGCAACGCGCGCGCTCCGCCTCGCTCCCGCTCGCTCGCTGTCCGTGCGGACCGTGCGGAGCGGAGCGGGGCGGAGCGAGCGCGCGGGCGAAGACTGGAATTGTAAGCAGGTTGTTTAGATATTACGCTAGCAATGAATTTATATAATAAAAATTAATGTTAATATACTTGAAATTTCCGAATAAAACGAAGAATAACAAATTGTTTGTTTGATTGTTCCTTTAGTACATTTTTAAATTCAACGTGAGTTTGTGGAAACGTGGCCGAGTGATGTTGTACACATACACAGTGAGAGCGTCAGAGCATGCGTGGTGCGACTGCGCCGGGACTAGTCGGTGGGCTGTAGGTACTGTAGCTGTACACATACACAGTGAGAGCGTCAGAGCATGCGTGGTGCGACTGCGCCGGGACTAGTCGGTGGGCTGTAGGTACTGTAGCTGTACACATACACAGTGAGAGCGTCAGAGCATGCGTGGTGCGACTGCGCCGGGACTAGTCGGGGGGCTGTAGGTACTGTAGCTGTACACATACACAGTGAGAGCGTCAGAGCATGCGTGGTGCGACTGCGCCGGGACTAGTCGGGGGGCTGTAGGTACTGTAGCTGTACACATACACAGTGAGAGCGTCAGAGCATGCGTGGTGCGACTGCGCCGGGACTAGTCGGTGGGCTGTAGGCACTGTAGCTGTACAGTACTGCACGTGAGGAGGCACGCCCTGGTATCGATAGCCGTGTGAATTATAAATCGCAATCTTGTAATAAATGCGTAATAAAGTCATTACGAACTTGATATTTACCTAATGGTCTACATGTAAAACTATTTGTTAATCCTATCAAATGATAAGGATTAATGAATCGGTCGTCGGGTGCCAGCAAACACCTGTTCCGCGGCCGTCGCTACAGGCCAGATACAGCGCCAGTACAATCAAAATATCTACCAATGAAGTTGTCTCTCATTCAAGATAACTGAACCATCGACCAATGTTCCTTTAAGTTAGTTACATCATTAAAATAATTTACTGTTCTGAACATAGGTAGTGTGAATGTGAAATATGTTTGTAGACGCACGCATACAAGAAAATCCGGGCGTAGGATAACGCCAAAATTATTAAAAATTGATATTATTATTCATACATTATAATAATGCGTTCAGATTCTTAAGTTGTAGCGCAGTACGACGACGTTCTGAAGGAGATCAATGCCCGCCATGTTGCCCCGCAGTAGTGCGTGTGTGCCGCGTGTCGTGCCGCCGGCGCGCGTGTCGTGCTGTCACGTAGTCACTGCGTATCTGCGAGCCATGGCCCAGGGCTGTCTAATTACCTACTATTTACAGATTGAATTAGTCAAATAGGTTGGTGAAGTGCAAGCATTAAATTTAACTAGTGATTTATTTCTACTTCCAATAAAAAAGAGCTTTAAAGCGAGTATATTTTGTTCAATGTCTTAAAGGTCAGTCAGCGGTAATGTATTAACAGTTTTGTACGGACAACCCTATTTTTGTTTTATCTAAGCATCGCTCAATGTTGCATGATAGCGTCGTGATGGCGGAAACACATCGCGAAACATCGGCGTGTCGCGGATAAGCGGCTGGTCTTAAACAGAAAGAAAAAATCGGTTCTTGAATACATAATCCTGTGCAGATAGTACAGCAAGTACTGTAAGGAATCTTTATCGGGGACTATCTTAATTACCGTCCTTACCAATAATCGGCTGAATCCAATATAATATCATATCGAGTATGACGTCAATATGTTTCAACCAGGATGCTTGGCACATGGACTGACACAATTTCTTCAGTGATTTGGGAGTCATTAGCTACCTATCTTTTACCTATAAACTCTTCATTTTGATCTCACAATTGTCACAGTTGATTACATATGATTTTATTATTATTAGTCTAATGATTAACTGTTCCCCGCGACTTTGTTCGCGTATAATAATTCCTTCTGGCACAATTTGGGTTTTAGGATTAGTCTATTCCAAGGTTAAGTCTAACACATACATCAACAGCTTATAGATACCCACTGCTGAGCAAAGCTTCTTCTCCACGCTTACTCAATGCGGGTTGTCGATTTCAATCTTATAATTACAAATTATACGCCCAGGTTTCCTCTCGATGTTTTCTTTAACCGTTTGTCAGTGGTACAATTATCTTAGAAAGTACACATAACTCTGACAAAGTCACAAGTAGGTGTCGGACCCGCACCCTCATACATAAGAAGCAGGCGTTGTAAACTCCGGGCCACCATGATATTTAAGTCTAATACTATGCAAGAAATCTCATCAGAATCAATTCAGTACCAAGTTTATATTTATTGTGACATTAACTCATTTTCGTGATTTCAAAAATAAACAATCCCATGGTAGTTTACTAGTTTAGTATCAACTCCCGATACATCTCTGTGACAAAACTGTTCTATGTCCTTTTCTGGGTTGCAAACTATTGTTGTACCGAATTCCAATCAAATAAGTACAGTGGTTTAAACACAGTTTAACACAGTTCCCGTTCTCGTGGAATACCCGTGTTGAAAATTCTCAGTCGTTCTTTCCCACGTCTCAAACTGTGATTGTACTGAATATCACTCAAATAAGTTCAATAATGGTTTAATAGATAGAGAGTCCCAGCAATTTAACGTAAGTGGGAATTTCGGGATGAAAATTATTATATTCCTTTTCCCAGATCTCAAATTATCGTTGTTCCGAATTTCACTCGAAACACGAAATAGGTTCAGTGGTTTAAGTGATTGAGTCCCGGGATTTAATACTTAGTTCTCGTTTTTCTGTTCTGAAATTTACGGGATTCCCGTTATTCTGGAATTTCCGGGTAATTACTCTGGTACTTATAATGTGGCCTGGTTTGTACCGGTGCGATGTCGCTTAATGTTCCAGCTGAAAATGAATTTTCAAATCGGTCCAGTTGTTTCGGAGCCTATTCAATTTAAACAAACAGAACATCCAATTTTTCCTCTTCAGATATATAGTATTCAGTCTATATATCTGAAGAGTATACAGAAGGTACAGATATATAGTGTCAGTATTTCAGATAATTATAGATATATAGTATCGGTTTAGACCGGTTTGAAGAACTCTGTCACTAGTTCTACTTTTTGTTTAGATGTTCTACAGAATGTGTACATGATTGATAAATATAATATCTAAAAACCTTTTCTCCTGTTAAGTGCTTCACATAATATCCGGAAGAGTGGCTTATGCGTCATTCCAGATAAGCCAAAGTCAAGGTAGCTCGAACCAACTGAAATCTTTAATTTTTGTGTATTTCGACGAAACCATATCAGCCACTATCAGAGGTTATCAGTAATCGTGTTGCAAGACAGATACACGGACAAGAAATAAACAAATAGTACATCTGTGATCCAAGTAATGATACTGATAGTAGCGATACGAGTGCGACAGTCATTGCATATCTGTTGTAATCTGGTCATTGCTTCCGCTCTGTAATGACTTATTTGTCCGCTATGATTGCTGGTGCTGGCGGTGCTGACAGTGTATATGATTTTTTTGATTGAAATGAATTTTTACCCAAAATGTTCACAAAATAAATAAATTAATTAAATCAAAATCACATTTTTGTTTAAGGGTCGAGTGGTCTGAAATAAAATTTTGTTGTATACTTCAAGACATCTTATCTAAACACATCTTTGTTTGAAACAAATGGTTTTGAAAAATAGTCTCACAAGCTTCCAAAATTTTATTTTTCATTCACACGTCACAAATTTTTCAACTTCTCAAATAATAAAAATTAAAATTCGTTTTGAACTTAGTTTTATTTTAGAAATTTTGTTAGTTTAGACCCTTTCTAACAGTATGCAACAAGTCACATAAATTATTAATTATGTTGTAAAATACGGGTTAATATTTTGCCGTACGTACCCGATTTTTTACGGTAATAACACACTACAATGGAACCATTTTTTATTATAAGAAGTCGACTTCAAAACCAAGAACTAAAAACAAACAAATGGTAAAAAGTGACTGTTACCTACCAGTCACATGTACTGATAAGTTACCGACCCACTGATAGGTAAGAGTTCTGTGCCACAAGCCCATAACAAAATATTATTGAAGTATCAAATATTGGAAGAAGTAACAAAAGTATGTTGTTACAAGGTGCCGGTCCTTAGTGTCTGTTTCCTCTCTTGGGGCGAGTGTATTATCACCAATTCGTTTCCTTCTTTAGACGCTATACTTAGAAAGTAGAATGAAATTTATTCGACTATTACATTTGGCCCGACTGACAAACAACTGTTGATCGTGCAGTTTAGTTTGGTTCATTTGGTTACTTGTAAAAAAGAGTACAGAAGCGAGATGTGTTGTT